CGGGGCCGCGGGGGCTCCGGGGGGCCCCCCGGGGGGCCCCCCCGGCCCCGCGGCCCCGGGGGGCCCCCCAGGAGCCTCCCAGGGGCCCCCCGCCGGGGGCCCCCCGGGGGCGGGGGCCCCCTGGGGGGCCCCCGGGGCGTTTGCGGGGGCCCTCGGGGCGTGGGGAGGAATGGGGGCCCCCGGGGGGGCCCCCGGGGGGGCCCCCGGGGGGCCCCCGGGGGCCCCCGGAAGTGGGGGCTGCATGCGCGTGGCCGGGAGGGGCTGCCTCTCCGAACATATTGTGAGGATTCCATCTTTGACAAATGACTCTCATGTTCGAGGAGATGATGGAGTTGGAGAGGGTTTAACAATTGAGCTGAACGGGGGCCCCCTGGGCCCCTGCAGCAGCAGCAGCAGCAGCAGCAGCAGCTGCTGCAGCGGCTGCTGCAGCCACGGCTGCTGCAGCTGCAGCCCCTGCGGCGGCGCGCCCCCGCCCGGCGGCCCCTGCAGCAGCAGCAGCAGCAGCAGCAGCAGCAGCAGCGAGGGCCCGGCGCTGAGCAAGGCGAAGCTGCAGGGCGCTGCTGCTGCTGCTGCTGCTGCTGCTGCTGCGCAGGGGGCCCCCGGCGAGGGGGGGCCCCCCAACAAAGAAAAAGAAGGACTTTGGGCAGCTCCGCTTTGGAGCAGCTGCGAGTCTTTAGGGTTTGCTTTTGGGTTTCCTTCTTGGGAGCTTCCGAGTTGCGGTGTACATACACCCGGGGGCCCCCCCGCGGGCTTCGGGGTCTCCGCCGCAGCAGCAGCAGCAGCAGCAGCAGCAGCAGCAGCAGCAGAAAGCAGCAGCCTCGAGGGCCTCTACCTCCGCCCCATCTGCAGCAGACTCCCCAGCCGCACCACCAGCATTTGTGGGGAGCTCGAGGGGCCCCCCAGCGCGGACTGGGGCCCCTGCCGCATAGACACGAGGGGCCCCGAGGAGGGTTTAGAGGGCCCGGGGGCCCCTCTTGGGTCGAAAGAGTTGCCACTTCTGCTGCTGCGGCCCACCCCTTCGCCTTCAGCTTCTTCTGCGCAACTCCCAAGTCCCACAGGGCAGCTTCGCCCATCTGCAGCTGACCCCGCCCCTGCAGCAGCAGCAGCAGCAGCAGCAGCAGCAGCAGCAGCAGCAGCAAATGCTGCTGCTGCTGCAGAAGCAGCAGCAGAAGCAGCAGCGGCAGCGGCAGCTGCAGCAAAGCCGGCGTTGGGGCTCGGGATAGTGGAAAAGTCCTCCGGGACCCAAGCAGCAGCAGCTGGAGCTGCAGCAGCAGCAGCAGCAGCAGCAGCAGCAGCAGCAGCAGCAGGTGGACCAGTGGTCCAGTGCGGGCGCAGCTGCAGCAAAGAGGACGGAGCGCAGCGGTTTAAATGAGGAAAAGTTTGAAACAAAAAAGAAAATGAAAGCCGCGGAAGAGCGGCTTGCTGCGAAGCCGCAAGCCCGAGGTGTACGTACACCCCAGAGGTGCGCGTACACCCCACAGTCTGCGGTGTACGTACACCTCAAGCTGTGGGGTGTACGTACACCGCAGCGCTGCGCATTTGCCAAACAAAAAGAAAAGCAATTATTTATTTAATTGCGAGCTGAAAGACTTTATTTCTTTTAAATTCGCTTCTGTCGAGTTTTAATTTATTTCTTTATTTCAAACTTTAATTATTTATTCCAATTTAATTCTATTTGCCATTTCAAACTTTATTCTTTATTTCTAATTTTTACTTTTTACGCAACTTTTATTTATTCCAAATTCCACTCAAATTCATTTCTTCCAAAGTTTAATTATCTTTGTTTCTTCTTTTCAATTTTAGTTCTATTTATTTCTTCTTTTTAATTTTAGTTTTTATTTATTCCTTGTTTTTAATTTTAGTTCTATTTATTTCTTTTTAATTTTAGTTTTTATTTATTTCTTCTTTTTAATTTCAGTTTTTATTTATTTTTTTCTTTTTAATTTTAGTTCTACTTATTCCTTCTTTTGAATTCTAATTACATTTATTTCTTTCCAGTTTCGAACATATTTCTTTTCCTCCGAAATTTAATTAAATTTATTTCTCTTCTCTCAAACCCCAATTAAATTTATTTCTTTTTTTGAATTTAAATTAAATTTTCTTTTTTTAAATTCAAATTAAATTTGTTCTCGAAACTGCATGCAGGCCGCTGCAAATCCGAAAAAGCTTTTTCGCAATTTAAGAAATAAAATGAATTAAAAATAAAAGTAAACATTTCATGATTTGTTTCCAGAATTTCATTTTATCTTTTTTAAATTTCGAAATTATTTTTCTTTTTTTTTAAATGTTGCTGCTGGGTTGGGGTGTACATACACCCCATTTGGAAGATAACGGCTAAGCCGCTGCCCCACACTTTGGTTTATTTTCATTTGTTTCTCTTTTTTATCTTTGTGCTTCTCTTCTGCTTCTAATTGCTGCTGCTGCTGCTGTTGCTGCTGCTGATATTGCTGCTGCTGCTGTTGCTGCTGCTGCTGCTGCATTCGGTTTTCCTTATAGTCTTTTCGTTTCTCTTGTGCTTCTAATTGCTGCAGCTGCTGCTGCATTTGTTCCTCTCTATGGCCATTCTTGTTTCCCTTCTGCTTCTCATTGTTGCTGCTGCTGCTGCTGCTGCTGCTTCTGCTGCTGCTGTTGCTGCTGTTGCTGCTGTTGCTGCTGCTGCTGCTTAAGGCTAAAGGCCCTCCTTTGGGCCTCTTAGTAGACACTGACAGCTTTAATAATAGTATTAATAGTTTAGAGAGCTGCTGCAGCTTCTAGGGTTTAGGGTTTAGGGTTTAGGGTTTAGCTGACTGCTATTGTTGCTGCAGCGACTACTGCAGCAACGCACGGAAGCAAAGGCCGCTAACAGAATAAATAAATAAATAAATAAATAAATAAATAAATAAATAAATAAATAAATAAATAAATAAAGAGAGAAACAGATAATAAGATTTGAGATGAAGTTCAAAAAATAAAATGCACAGAAAGCCTCGGGCGGAGCCTTCGGGTGTATGTACAGCTAGAAGCCAGCAGGTCTATAATTCCAATTCTTTTTTATTTTTTGTTTTTTATTTTTATTTTTTTATTTTTATTTTTTTATTTTTTGTTTTTTGTTTTCTCTCTCCCTTTCCAGAAGTCCCCACGCCCGCAAATTAGCTCGTTTGATCAAATATAGAGACAGTTTCTATTTTTGCATTTATACCAATATATATAAATATAAATATATATATATACATATATATATATATTATATACAAAATATATATAATATATATATTATATATTATATGTATATATATATATATATATGTTATAAATATATATATATATATATACATATATCCAAATAATCATACACACTAATATATATTGCATATTGTGTTTATAAATTAGTAAGTGCATTTATACTTTTATACTTTTGAAATATATTTTTGAAATATATTTTTGAATTATATTTTTGAAATGCAAAAATGCAGACTTTGCGAATTTTGGCCTTCAAGAGTGCGCCTGTGGGGTGTACAGACAGGCAAGCACAAGTGTTTTCAAATGCAGCAAATCTTCAAATTGCATTTTTGTTTTTTTGCAATTTTTGGCAACACTTTTGCGCAAATATTAATTTTTATTTTTTTGCTTTTTCTAATTACTTCTTGAAGACTCAACGTCGCACAAATTAGAGTGTATGTACACCTGAAGCCCCTGCGCATGCACTTGCTGCGCCCGCCACGGCGAGCTGCACAAGTTAGGGTTTAGGGTTTAGGGTTTAGGGTTTAGGGTTTAGATGGTTGCAAATGGACTTAGGGGAAAATGCATGCATGCGCGGAAGCAGCAAAGAAAGGAACTGGTGGGAAGTCCTTTTGACAGAAAAACGAAAACAAATGGAAAGAAAGAAACAAATAAAATGAAAAATGCGGCGCAAAGAAACACTGCGGGGTTTGCTGCTGCAGCAGCAGCGGGAAAAGCCGCAGCTGAGGTGTCTGTACACCCCAGCGAACTGGCCGTACACCCCAGCGAGGTGTCTGTACACCTCAGCGCGCCGCGGCGCACAGCCCCCGCTCGTACAACAAACAGTTTAATTGTTCATTTAAAAAAAAAGATAAACCCGCAGAACTAAATCCTTTAATCCAACAAAGAGAGGCCCCTTTGTAGAAGCCCAGGGGCCCCCCTCGGGTGTATATACACCTGCACACCTCCAGCAGCCGGGGGCCCCCCTGGCCCAGACTTCCTTCTTCCTGCATGCGCAGCAGCAGTTCTTTAAATCCTTCTTACAGCAGTTCTTTAAATCCTTCTTATTTATTTTATTTTATTTATTTTATTTATTTTATTTTATTTTATTTTATTTTATTTTAATTCAAATAAACGATCTATTCCACTTGCAGCCCCTTCCACTCCAGCAGCTTTCCCGCAGCAGCTGTCGAGACACCCGGCGGGCTTCCGCCACTTCGCCGTTTTTGAAGACAAAAAAAAAATAATAAAAAGAAACTAAAAGTGGAAATAAAAACAATTCCCGAAAATAAATAAAAGAAATTAAAAAGTGCAAATAAAATCAATTAATTAATTCCAAAAAGACCAAACAAATAAAATAAAAGCCCACTTTACACTTCAGCAACAAACTCTGGACTTGGAATATTTTTCGAACAGAGTCCAAAACAAATAAAAAAAGGTGCAAAAAAAGCCAATTGATAATTCTTTTTCAACTAAAACGAATACACCAATTAATTAATGAATTAATTAATTAATTACTTCCAAAAGGACAAATGAAATGAAATAAAATAAAGAATTACTTTATATTTTATTAGCAAACTCTGGACTTGGAATATTTTTCGAACAGAGTCCAAAACAAATAAAAAAAGGTGCAAAAAAAGCCAATTGATAATTCTTTT